GATTCTGCCACGGTCACGTCTCTGCTCAAGAAGCGCCGCGATGCGATCTTCAGGGTCCTACTTATTAGGGGGCTAGTACTATTACAGCTTGGGGTATTTTGGAAGGAGTCAAGAAGAGAAAGAAAAAAGTCAAATCAGAAAGCACAGGCGACAGGGCAGGGGGTGGGTTTGGTTATCGGTCCCCTGCTTAGGTTTTGCGGCGTGGAGAAACGATTGTGTAAGAGAGATTGAGAAACTGTCAAATCAAATCCAATTTTATCAATCGGTTACAGTTAAGGGAGAGAAAAGGAAAAGAGGGTCCAGAGGTCACTGCAGAGTCAGACAGATAGAATCGACATTGGATTGGATGTTGATGGGGCGTGGAGGAAGACGACAAAGACACAAAGAGACTTTTAGACGCGAAACCTGTTTCCCCCCCTCTTTTGGATGTCGCTTCAGACGCCAAAACAAGCGATGAGATACATAACTAATTAGAGGTTGTGATCGAGACGCCCTCAATTTGGAGTTACATGATGGAATAAATGCCTAATTATGTCTTACACACATATAGGCAAGAGGAATATGAAGCCATACCACCTTGAACCACCTGATATCATCATATGGCGTGGATACCTGCATACAGCACTGTAGAATTTCTTTTGCTACGTATCGAGTTGAGGCAGAAGACACAAAGCGTAAGATACGTACATACCGCATGCACAGTAACATGGAATTTCTGTCTTTGCGACTCGTGTAAACCCATAATGTTGCAATTAGGTTATACTTAGCTTCTCAGGGTTGCTTTGATTTGTTTCTGCAAGAGTATTAGACTCAGCTCTCATAGGTTCATATAGTACCTATCTCTTCGTCCATTCTCATAGTCAGGTCCAATTCTTAAAGAGCACTGCGAAAACCGTTTTTCGAAAACGGGGGCCCTGACGTCAGAGGCGGATGATAGGGTCCCCGGCTCCGTTGCTGCAAAGACCCGGCCGAGCTCCACCAGCTCGACGTCATCGATGAGCTTGTTATTCGCTGCCGCAGATGGCCGAACAGGGGCAAGCGTTGAATGTTGCAATCTTTGCTTTTGATGTGGGGGAAGGAGAGGGTGGGGGCGTTTCTGGCTACAAGGGGGGTAGGCGTGGTCGTAGAAATAAAGTCCAAGGTACTTAGCAGGGGAGGCTGGCGGGTTTAATTTATTTAGCGTCTGATTGATGCCGGGACATGGATGGCTTTGGCTGAACTTGAGCCAGGCTAGTCAGGGTACAGTAACCAGCACGACAGACCAAAGCATCCATTTTCAATACAGTAAGCTACATACTACTAGTATCTAGGGCACTTGCGAAGAACGACGTCGGGGGGGCGGACAACGTCTCCCAGAGCCTAAGTAGCCTCTAAACACCTTTAGCTAATTCAGATCATGCATATCGACCCTCAAGTCTGAGAAGTGAGGAATCTATTCAATCTTGAGATCAATACTATCTCTGGGCTTGGAGTTCCTTTTTCGCATTGACTGTATGCACTGCTGTACCCCTCATCCATAAGAGCCATTGCTATCAATCACATCCTATGCGAGTCTGTGATGCCATCATCAAATCACCTCTAACTCACTGTATGTACTCTTGGTCACCTGTCGGACTGGGTCCGGCAGTACTACAGTGTCAGTGTGAGCCCTGATGTACCGTCAACCATCCAACACCACGCTCCCACAGCCTTGTCCTGAGTATTCAGCACAGCATTCCTCTCCCCTGTTCTGTATCTGAGCAATTGGGCACCGCTCTAAAACAAGACCCAATCTAAAAGTCATGGGCTTTAAACTTCCCCCTCCCTTCAACCAAATAACCCTTGCGGATAGGGAGTTGGTTTCATGCTTCGGTTTTTGCCACTCTCAAGATGTTGTCGAATTAGACAAGAGTCAGCTGCACAAACTCAGTTCACTGCAGTCACACTGTGATACTGTATACAGCCTTGGTCACTCCAAGTGGAAGTAGAAGTGGAAACGGCACCGGCTCTGACTATCGACGGATGTCAACATAGCCGCATTCCCTTCAGACACTAAGACCAGCGCTATGTTTTCGAGGCTAGGCTAGGCTAGCAAGCCTCGTCAGGAGCCAATGCGGGAAGAAGGAACAACAAGGTTGAGACAGGAAACGAAACAAAAGAAATTCTGTCAATCTCTTCGCTCGGACTCTGCATTTTGGTCCACCAAAGGTAAATTATCCTTGGTGGCTGCTGCTTGGTGGTGAATGTTGGTGCTGGTGTTTTTGCCGGCCTGCCCTCTTCTTGCCTCTTCTTGACCTCATTACACCACTAGGCGCTGCATTTGACAGTCTTGTAAGACTAAAAGACAGGCTATTCTTAATACAGCACACCGCAATTGGTCTTTCCTTCCTGTTCCCCTGATGGTATTTGCTGAGAATGCCATGCCCCCGCCCTCGCCTTACAGTAATTGTTGCCTGACGGAGAACAAGGTGTTGAGAGTTTTCCTCCTTCCGCTTCCAAATTATCTGTCCCGTCTCATCACCTGACCGGCTTACAGTACTGGCCTGACCGCCGGACCTGACTCGACCCTCTTTCACATCGACTAAACTACTCACCATCCACTATCAATCTCCTCATCTCGATTCGCTTTGCTATCCTGGCTTCTGACCGTAACGCTCATTTGTTGTCCCGTCTATGTTACCTTGTCTACTTGCCTTTAGTAGATACTTTACCTCCACATATGTTGCTCTGCCTCCAGGATGGGCAATGGAGCGGGGTCTTCACCTGGTTGCTCTCCCGTCCCAACATCCAACCGATGTGACGTACATCTTGTATGCACAGCGACAATCACAGGGAGCAATTGCTAAAGCCTAAGATGCTCAACCAAATCCGTTCTTCCTGTGTCTTGGCTTGCTTTAACCTCAGCCTTCTTTGGATGATCTGCGCGCCTCCTCCTCTCCAGTACGGTAAGCAGCCGTTGCGGCCGCACATCACAAGCAACTCAAACCGGAGGCGTCAATTAAAGTGCCGACACATTACGATAAGCCTCGATGCGAGAAACCAACGGCGGCCTTTCAACATAGTTCAGCTCGCTCTGAGACCTACTCATTGTCTTGTCTTGTCTTGTCCTGTCAGCTAGTGCTGGTGTAATGCAAGGCTGGACCTTAATTATTACCTCAGGAACTGTCTTTCCTACAGTAACTAAGACCTGACTTGTGGTTGGATTTACGGGTTAAATCTTCCCTTCCGGTATGGATGCTATGAAATCATAGTTGGCACGAACGTTGCTCTTGCATCCTGACGGAACTCAAGGAGTGCCTAGGACCCATATGCTCGTCTTGGAGGGCCTCTGCTGGCATGCCCTTGGCGGATATCAAACCCGACATCATGAGGTCACGAAGCCGACCAGTAGAGGCTAACAACCCAGTATGCGACTGGATGGATACCTCGTTTTACTATGCTCCAGTCGGGAAACCAGCTCATGGACAGTGAGAACCAAGAGTTTGAGACGGAAACCAACCCTTTTCTTCGCCATCATATCACGTCCTAGCTGCATCCTGCAGATTTGTCACTCCTGACGCCTTTCCAGTCTCTACATGCACTTCCGTCGAGCAAATCCTGGCAGAAAGCACGCCTGGCATGGGAGGATGATACCTGAAGAAAAAAAAGACAATACCAATGATAAGAGCCCCTATGCCAGGCTATGAATGTATGTATGTACTGAATTACAGGACGTGCCATGCGCCAACGATCGAAAAGGCTGCCCACGTGCAACAGCAGTGATTGATAGACCTGCCCTTACTGTGAAAGGAAAAAGATATACATTGTCTTCAGCCAGGTTTCCATCTCCGCCCTCAAGAACCACTCAAAGGCACAAGACGAAACTTAGTGGATGTCGATCACTTCTCGCCTCCCCCTCTCCAACGATCTTACGTATGTCCCTACTGGTATTAGCAACTGCAGTTCCAACCTCCTTTTGCCTGTATTCATCAATGCCATCAAGTCTAGATACAATATCGTGACCATGATCCTAGAGGTTGGGCGGCACGGGCCCCTCCTCCACCCTGCTCTGCCTCTTCTTTCACCCATTATCCCCTGACTCGACACGAAAACAACAGGAAGATGGGGAGACCCCAATGCAGTGAAATCTGCATCTGCCGGAACTTGGCTCAAAAGTTCCTCTAAAGTGTGGATGAGCCGCGGGTCCGGGCGTCGACTACCGAAGAGGAGGTGCAACGATCCCGTTTACGCGTGTGGTTTATTGATTCTGTGATACGTCTCACCTCACTGCTTGCTGTGCCTGGTGGAAGCAATCACACGTGCGGTGTAGCTACGGAGCCGTTGATAAGCTAACAAACTACAGCCCACATACCCAAGGCTTTGGGGATCATCCAGGGCCCAAGCAGCTGGCTGAGATTGTTGGCGACCTGAAAGGTAACATGCTCAGTCCGCCCATGTTACCCTCGGTTGCTGAGTTATGGGGTTATCGTTCGATGAGAATACAGTCAATCAATTGACATAGAGCTAGCATCTGTTTAAACTGCTGCCTTCGGATGATCGTCGCTTTGGCTAATGAAATGAAACCACCAGCTCGGTTGAAGGCCCCAATCCTTTCTTCCATCCCTGCAATTAGTTGTAACGAACACGCACAGTCGGCGTCTCCGCTGCGAGGTGAGTTGACAGCTGGAGATAAGTGCTACACCAGTCTTGGCAAATCATCCGTTCGTCGACCTGGCAGTGGTCGACAGACGCATAGCTGTTTAGATGAAGGGGTCTCAAGACAAGCCAGCATCAATCGCAGGATCATGAGATGGGAGATTATCACTCGGTACAATTAGATATTCAAAACATTGAAACCATTTTTTATCATCTATCAGAACGCCCTGACGCATGCAGTAACCCCTTTCAACATACAACATTCCCGATTACAAGCCTCCCCATATCCATAATACTAGAGAAAAAAAAGTCCTTGGAACAAACCCTGTTGTCACCCCTCTGACCACGTCCTGAAATCAATCTCTCCTCCCTTTGTGTACAAACTCTTACAGTACAATCGCAAGCTCCGGTCGATCCATCTTGTCTTCATCCAGGTTGGGATAGTATGGCACCATTGCATCCGCCCCTTGAACATACGCGTCGTTGTACAGACGCCAGTATGGAGTTCTGACCTTTCGTGCCGGGTGGAACAGACCCGCCCAAACATAGTTGAGCACCAAGCCCGGTCCGACTGCCATTCGAATAGCTTCAATCGCCTCCACGATACGATCGATAACGTGCGGACTGGTTTCGAACAGGTTGGGGTAGAGGAGGTTGAGAAGATGCACCATGGCATCCTCACATCCCAAGCCGACAACACCTAGAGCAATGTGCTTGACAACCGAGGCTGCCGTCTGACGATGGACTTGGTCACGGTCGATAAGAGCGTCCTCCAACAGGGGAGTTACTGCGTAGACGTAGTCCTTGGCCATCTCACCAATATACTCGAAGAGGAACGAGAGGGACTTGAGCACACCGTTTTGCACGTTGAGCTCGGGGACTCTGTACTCATTCATCAGAGCGGGTAGAACAGTGAAAGGAGCACAAGTTTCAGCGACGATACCGATAGCAACAGCAGTGTTAACACGGGACTGGCGCTCCTGTACTCGAAGGTTGTTGAGTAGGGTCGCCAACACATCTTGAGGACCAATGGCCTTCGCGATGAAACCGAATGTGTTGTTCGCGGCTCGTCGGATACCCTTCTTGTGAGCCTTGAGCATATCGAGCAGCTCGAAGCAGATTCGCATCCATTCTCGGGCGTTGACACTCTCAGGACCGCGATCCGCAATACGGCCGACCAGGTCAATAGTATTCTCCTGGACCTTCTCGTGGCGATTTCGCAAGATAGGGGTGAGTCTTGGGAGAAGCTCCTTGATGGGCGGTTGCATTTGTGCAATACCAACAACCGTGACGATAGATCGTAGCGCACCCAGAATAGATCCAAGAACCTCAGGGTACTCCTCACCAAGGTATTCGTAAAGCACAACTCCAAGCTTTCCCATAAGGGCATCCTCACCACATTGCTTCATAACCATAGCAATTCGAGAGATAAGGTCCGCCGCCTGTTGCCGAACCGTAGCTGACTTATTGTTGAGACGCCAAAGAATGGTACTGACGATTTGAGGGATGTAGGGCTTGCAGCGAGTTCCCAATGCGTTAACCACGGAACCAAAGCCGTTGAGCATGATAATGTCCTCAACGCTCTGCTCCTGGAACGCATGAAGAATACCATCCACGAGTCGCTCTTCTAAGCGCTCGCCGATATCAGCTGCGCCCAAGCTAGCAACAATCTTCTCCACGGTCTCAACTGTCATCTTGCGATATGCCTCGCTCTCATCCTTGAGGTTGTTGACAATTCTGTCCACGATCTCACTAACTCCAACCTTCTGGCCAATGTCGACTGTTGTTTCGACTACTTGTCTGTAGTTGCGCTTATCCAAAGCCATTCTTCGTACCCAGAAGCTCTTGAAGAATTCATCCAGCACATGTTCCTTAAGGTATCCAGCAGTCACACCATCGGTACCGGCGCACTGAGACACCACCTTGAGAACAACCTTCTTCATTTCCTCATCGGGCGAGGAAAACTCACGAAGGAGAATCTCCATAATTTGGCTAGTGTAGTAATTGGCATATTCTTCGTCCATCAGAGGGATGATATAACCAACAGCCTTGAGGAAACCCGCAAGACCTTTGCCTCGCTGTTTGCGGGCACCTGTCCACAGAGGGTTTAGGATATCGTCGAAACTCTCGATACCGTAGGGGTTGGAGGCTTCGGCCAGAGCTGCGATGGCCAAACTAGTGACCGTCCTGACCTTGGTCTGCTCGTCATTAAGGTTGGGACCAATGCAGTCAACAAGACCCTTGAGATGAGGGAGTACAGCACAACCCATCAGAATAGGGATTTGTTGGACGATCTTGACACCGGTGTGACGAGCTTGCCATGACTTTTTACTTCGGCAGACAGCTCGGAGGAAAGGCAACAAAGCAGGAATACCCAAGGCAGAGGCGACGACAGCGAAGGCTCGTGCTGTTGTGTTTCGGACATACTCATCAACGTGGTCGATATCAGGTCGCATAGTGCTAATCATGGTAGCAAGACCAGCGGCCTTGCTCAGGTTAGAAATAATCTCACGACCCTCAACTCGCGCATAGTAGTCTTGGTCGATAAGAAGGGGTTCGATAACGACCAAGATCTTGTGGACATATGGGCGCACAAGATCATCAAGCTTATACAGAATGCGATCGATAACCTTGACGAGCAAATGGCGTTCTTGGTCCTCCAGTGTCTTCTCCATGAGTAGGGGCAGGATCTGATCAAAGAGTGGACCAGCCCCAAATTGTCTGGCATTGTCGGTGATTTGTCTAAGGGCTGTCTTTCGCATAGGAGGGGTACCGTTCTTGATCTTCAAGAGAAGCCTCATGATCTTCCTCTCCTTGAGCTCCTCGACAGTCAACGCATTCTCATCGGAACCGTCGGTCAGTTTGCCAAAGTAAGCCATATCCTCAGCCTTGAAGAACTGCAAGTCACCAACTCCGGGTATTTCAGCAGGCATTGGCTTTCCGGACAGGCGTACCTGTTCGGGGTCTTGCATCATGAAGCCTGTTTGGGGCGCAGGGGTAGCCATGAGCTTGTGTGCAGGTGCCCGGACTGGCTCGTAACCAGGAGGAGGATCGAGGATCTTGTAGCCCTCACTCTCGCCAGGCAATAGGAGGTCAAGTTCCTCATCACTAAGAGGCATGTTGCGACCAGAGATATCGGTACCGAATGTCGTTGGAACAGTGGGAGCGGAAGATGGATGCGCAGGAGTTGCAAGCCCAGCGTTACCCATGGGTGTAGCAGAAGGAGCCTGATCCCATCGTGAGCGTTTCTTTGCGCCTTCGGCACCTGGGGCAGATAGAGCGGGCGCTTGATCCCATCGAGAGCGTTTGGGCTTGGCTGCATCAGCAGCCTCAGCCTTGTCATCCTCAGCGGGTGTCGATGAAACGTCCCATCTCTTCTTTCGCTTGCGAGTAGTAGATACGCCCTCGGTAGATTCAGCTTCAGCGTTTTCTTTGTCACCATCGATGAGCATAGGCTTGGCATCGCCATCGTCCTCGGTCTTGCCTTCCTGCTTCGCCTTGATGGCTTGGAGCACACGTTGTTCCTCTCTTTCGAGTTCACGAGCTTCCATAATCTCACGATAACTGGTGCCATTCTCGGAAACACCAGCCTGGCGATTCTCGGCGAATGGGTCGGCGCGCGTAGGAGTAAGGGCGCGGTTGAAGCGGCGCTTCTGATAATCAGTTTCGCGATCGACGATTCGGCCGCTCTTCTCTCCTTTTCCAGCAAGAATGTCGTCTTCTTCAACACCACTTCCTCTGGCAAATTCATCGATCATTTCTCGCGACGCCGTATACTGGCCGGTCAGCCGTCGCGTGTTGTCGCCATCGCCCATCTCATCGTCATCTTCACCCATCATCGGCAGAGACGTGTTATATCCGGAAAACTTATTAGGTCCATCATTGTCGTATAAAGAACTGTCGGCGCTGTCGGTCAGCTTCTGCTTTGTATCGTCGGTTCGCTGGTTGGCGACATCAAAGCTTCGCGAACCCTTGTTTGCCGCAGCAGCAGCATTTCGCTCCTGCTGGAGCTTCTTGATTGTCTCGAAATCGGCGTCAGACATTTTGAATTATGAAATTCGCAGCTTCATCCCGGTTCAAGAGGACAAGAGGCGCTCGGAACGTTATCGTTGCGCATGGAGAGTTGGGGATGGTTGATGAGTAGTCGCAAAATTAGTACGCTCTCCTTGACGAAGCTTTGCTACGCTGGAGGCGATCTACTCCACCCGAATTTTAGCCGCTTCCTTAGAGCAATGCATGTGCCCGCTTACCAGGAAAGGAAATTTGTCAACAATGCTTTGTCATGGTGATTCTCTTTTTTTTTTTTTTT